GACATCATGTGAATCATCAAAGCTAAAGGCTGTTAAAGTCTTTTAAAGATCTAAAGTGACGTTTTAAGGTAAATAATATCAATTAGCGCCATTAAAATATTTTGTTCCACTTATAAAAAAAATGCATTTTATTTTTTTAGGAAAAACCACGATTATCAGATGATGTCTACATACTGCTGACGTACTAACTTTAATTTATCGATTTCAATTGGATTTTATTGCTTGTATTTTCATCTTCAAAGATCCACATACTGTAGTAATATCTTATTGCTTATCTATAGATATCATCGCACTTTGGTCTTTAAAGTGCATTTGTATGAGCAAGAAACAGAAGAAGAAAAAATGCTAGAGAACGCCCCAAACGACGAAAATAAAATTGTTACAGGAGATTTTGAATTAAGAAACATCTGCAGATGTGTTTTCATGGCGGTTATCATGGAATTTCAAAGTATCTAAATGTATTTTTCTTCTATCAGAAATGTTAAGATCATATTTTCTTAAGATATTTAATAAGTTTATGTAATACTTTTGTTAAAAAAATCTTAACAGTCAGCCATGACTGTGTTCAATTTTATTATTTGAGCCGCGTCACGACAAAACCAACACTATGCGTTTGCGACCAGCATGGATCCAGACCAGCCTGCGCATCCGCGCAGTCTGATCAGGATCCATGCTGTTCGCTTACAAACCCTTTTACAAGTAGAGAAAATGATAGCAAACAGCATGGATCCTGATCAGACTGCGCAGAAGCGCAGGCTGGTCTGGATCGATGCTTGTCGCAAACCCACTATGTTGGTTTTGTCGTGACGCGGCTCAAATATTCATTAAAGTTTACATTCACTCTGCCCTTGTTTACTTATTTATAATGTGTTATATGTAATTTTGGTATTAAAATGTATTTGAGTTCATGTGTTTTTATTCAGTAACAGTCGTTTTTTATTATAATTATCACTTGATAATTAATTTAAATATTACCGAATAAATCTAAAATGACCAAAAAAGAGAAGAAGCTATGTAGTGAATCGTTGTTATTGCGAATCGTTACATTACCATAAATATTCATGACTCACATTAACCATTTTGTCAAGTATGCAACCATTTCCCTCGCTTGATCAAGTGTGCAACCATTTCACGCCCTGTCCATTGCTAGAATGCAAACGAAATTAATAATAATAATAATAATAATAATAATAATAATTATAATAATAATATCTTTATTTAAAGCAGGTTACACATTAAGAACATACAATAGCAATCATATATATCTTATTTCCAAATAGAAAACAACAACAACACCAACAACAGAACATGCATAGGATAAAAAAATGAAAGTATAATATGTTATTTTTAGAATAAGACAAGTCATAAACTTTCGACAGAAACTCAACAATTTGTTTAAACATATACGTATAAATTGCACCGTTCGTTCATTCATTAATTCATTCATATGAACATCAAGAAATGTTTCGTATTTTTCTTTATGTCAAATAAGTCGGTGCCATGTTATTTAAAGTTTTAAAAACAAGCACCGCCGTGTGGTATTTACATCTGTCAAGGAACAGCTTCGAATAGCTTCATTGACGGAGATCTTTGTGGTTGCTGTAAAATGATTTTAGCAATTCGTTTTTGTTATTTACAAACATTATTTATGAAGTTTGTGTTTCCTTTACCCCATATAAATCAACAATAGTCCATAATGGGCAATAAAACAATAATTTCATATCAAAGTTAAAAAAAATACGATTTTTTTTTCAATAGCGCAATTTTTCCATTAAGTTTTTACAAACATAGTCAATTTTCTCTTGTTCCTAAATATTAACATACATTTTGATTTATCTGGATTTTTGCACCATTTCTCAATGTTTTTTAAATGATCTTGAAGTTTTATTTCTACTTTTGATATATTTTCTCCGGACTCAAAAAGAGTAGAATCATCAGCGTATAAATTCATTTTTGACCAATGAAAGCTATGTCATTTATGTATATATATTATTAAATCAAATCAAATTAAGTAGCTTCAAATAAATTCAATCAAATCAAAATTTGTAAAACAATATTAAAATCAAATCAGATCAAATAATTAAATCTATTCGTTTATAACGGCTGATATTGTAATAAAACTTCCTAGCTGTAATTGAACGCCTATTGATCATGTAGGGTCTGAAAAAGATTTGAAAGGCACGTACTGAATCTACTGAAACAGACATCATTTTTCTATAAATAGATATAATAGAAACAACTACGAAAAAGTTTATATTTAACTATTTTACTCCATGAAGATACATCCACATTTATGATTTATACTTTTATTTTTTAATTATACATGTATACTGTGCTCCTCTTAGTTCACGGTACTTGATGCTTTGAAACCAGAAAGAAAACAACAAATGAAACTTATGGCACAAAAATTGTCATAAGCTATAACATATAGGTATTTTCTGCTGTATGGCACAATGAAACAAAAATATATTCAGTCTAGATCTAAGTCAATTTTAATGGACCAAACATAGACCATAATTATACCGTACTGTATAGATCGATCTACTTCTAGATCTACAATATTTCAAAATTAAAATATTCACGATTGAATTGCAACTTATCAACTTTATTAAAAAAACGACATATTATCAAAACGTGCATTTCAAAAGGAATAAATAAATGCGATTAATATAAAACATTTGATTAATATCGTTTATGACTGTCTATCCGCTGCATCATATTTATCACGTTCTCTTTTCAATACAGTGATATTGCTATGGTACTTTCATGTCCTTGACCTTGACGGACTACTTTTTACGGGGAATTACAAATGGAAATCGAAACTAGACAAATATTAACCGGTTAGAAGGTAAGATTGTTTAACTTATTTTGAAGATCTGCAGTGCTTTTATCAATAAAAATGTTATCGAATCTATTTAGAAAGTTAAAGAGCTAGTAAAGCTAATCAGTAGATTTCAACGGCAGAAAACTTTTTTAATTTGAGCTAGAGCGTAGCCAAGACGGGTACACTGTATGTGATTATTCACCCCACAACTTGGTTTACAGTGAAGTAATGTACACATGTATATTTTAATAAAGAAGGCTACGTCGTTACCAGGCCCGGCTTTCACTAACGTTCTCAAAGTAAAAATCTCAGCTCAAATCTGAGATTTTTCTCAAATCAGAAATTGAGATTGAGATTTTTCTCAGTTTGGCTTTCACTATAAAATATTGAGAAAAATCTCAACTTAAGATTTGAGATTTTTCTCAGATATATTGAGACAAGGTTTGGCTGTCTCAGATTATGTCTCAGTGAAGATAATTTATTATTATCAGGGGTGTTTTTACCTTTTGCATGGTTATTTTGATAAATAAACATAATTTGACCTTTTTGGCAATTAAATTTTTATTATTTTCATATATTTAACTACACGCCTACTAAACGGTGGCTCTTTCACATTTTGGTGATCTGTTTAAATGAGAGCCATCGACACTTCCGTTGCAGAGCCCTCGATGAAAACAAGGCTGAAAAAGGTAAGAAATTTTAGTAAAAATATCAATTTAAAAAGATCATGCTTGTTTTTCAAAAATCGAAGAATGTCATGCCACGTAGAACATTTTTCTCATCATGTTGGCTGCAGTTTCGATAAGAAACACCCTGAAATGACGTTGCTAGAACTTTTACCAAATATAATATCGTGGGTTTTCTTTTACGAGGAGACACATTTTAAGTGATTTCCCTACCGTAAAGTAGATGCTGGCCCATTTAATCGTGCATATAGCATTGTCCCAACCTCCTCTTTGGACCAACACAAAAAATAACTTGCAGAACTTAGTTGAAAACCAAATAATCACATTTTTATTATTGTGATCGAGCAATCGACAAGGTGCTGGCGCCATCGGCAATGTGAATGAGCCCTCGAAAATGTGATGGAGCCAACACTATCATTCATTTTGTGATAATATGATGGGAGTGTAACCGTTATTATACCTATCTGATCAACATTTCATATGCATCGATCAACATATACGATTTCATATGCATCGTATCACTGGGATGACATATTGAAATAATATACGCGATTTGATTATTCGAATTCATTAAAATTGAAGTAATAACGGTCACTTGTGTGCACGATTGAAGAATGCAATAGTCCATTCTGCACAAAGAAAGACAGAACGGACCACATACGGAAAAAACTCAATGTCAATTAGCTGAATAGTGGGAATTGTGAGAAAATTTTGCTTATGAACGCAACTTTAAACGACACCTCCAAAGATGCGGAAAAAGTATAAAGAAGAACCACACATGCAAGTATTGTACCAAACAGTTCTGTAGTCCAGATGCATGTTTGCCGTATGTGGTCCGTCCTGTCTTTCTTTGTGCAGAATGGACTATTGCATTCTTCAATCGTGCACACAAGTGACCTTTTCCGCGTATGTACACGTTCAACGTGCCTTTTAACCCTTTTCCTCATGAGCATATTGTGAAAAATGGCAGTTTTCATTGAAAAGACTACTGTTACAAGTTCAAACTGTTATGAAACTATGAAAAATGCTTCAATACTAATCAAACTTGGCACAAATGTTGACTAGACCATTGCCTTTGTAACGACATGCTCAGTCTTAAATTTCCTGTTACCATGGCAACGAGGGGACATCTCAAAATTGCCAAAAATCACTATTTTGCCTTGATTTTTTCCATCAAAATTTATTTCAAAGTGCTGCAACTTCTTAAGGGATTGAGATAGAGTCAAAGGCTTTTCAACGTTGGTTACACGTTACCTTATGATCGACCTGGGGTTTTTAGCCTCTCACAAGTCCAAAATTTTCTTGGCGATGAGGGGGACTACCGCCCCCCTTCAAATCCCCAAACAGCAGGGGGCACATCCCCCTTCTGGCAACCCCCTGATGTATCTTTTGGATAGTGGGGGAGGGGGCGCCGAAAAAGTGCTCACTTTTTTTAGCAACATTTCTCAAATGAAAACAATTGTATGGGGCCCAAATAGGACATTTTTTCACTATTTGAGGCCTAAAAGAAGGGGGGGTCGAGAGTGCGTTGTTTCGCGTATATATGAGGTAAAGGGTTAAGAGAAGATGATGTTGCGTATCGCCCATCACATATACCGCATAATGTACTGGTCGCCGCCTGCTCATGATAGTTTTTTTATGAAATTTAACCCTGGCCTTATTGGCGTACGTCTTTCCACACACATCACATTAAAAATCGTTTTTGTATCCCCTAATTCATGTCGAGATTCCACCTGAAATTTAAATAAATTTTAAAATTAAAAACTGAAACTAATATTTTACACAAAGAGGTTTTACTTCAATTTTAATAAATTCCAATAATCAAATCGCGTATTTTATTTCAATATGTCATACCGGTGATACGATGCATATGAAATTGTATATGTTAATCAGTTAGGTATAATAACAGTTACATTATGTACACTCCATCATATTATTACAAAATGAATGATAGTGTTGGCTCCATCACATTTTCGAGGGCTCATTCACATTGCCGATGGCGCCAGCACCTTGTCGATGGCTCGATCACAATAATAAAAATGTGATTATTTGGTTTTCAACTAAGTTCTGTAAGTTATTTTTTGTGTTGGTCCAAAGAGGAGGTTGGGACAATGCTATATACACGATTAAATGGGCCAGCATCTACTTTACGGTAGGGAAATCACTCAAAATATGTCTCCTCGTAAAAGAAAACCCACGATATTATATTTGGTAAAAGTTCTAGCAACGTCATTTCAGGGTATTTCTTATCGAAACTGCAGCAAACATGATGAGAAAAATGTTCTACGTGGCATGACATTCTTCGATTTTTGAAAAACAAGCATGATCTTTTAAAATTGATATTTTTACTAAAATTTCTTACCTTTTTCAGCCTTGTTTTCATCGTGGGCTCTGCAACGGAAGTGTCGATGGCTCTCATTTAAACAGATCACCAAAATGTGAAAGAGCCACCGTTTAGTAGGCGTGAACTAGTAATATATTGACTGATTATTGTGGGTGACATCATGCGCTCTAGATAATTCATGACGTCATGAAATTATGACGTCACAATTCTCATATTGAAAATGATTTTGTTTACTTTTGATGTACACTCATTCTTGATAAATCATTTTTATTAGCATTCAAATATTCACATATTTGCAATTGTTTTTTGTTGTTTTTGTCATTGTTTGTTTCTTGTTGATGTTGTTGTTGTTCTTTTAAAATAAAACAAGAAAATATAGATCTTCTTAATGTAGATTCTAATAAATATAAAAAAAACATTTCCCTGTTGCGTCATCTTACATCAAATCAGCAACTATATTAATATATACATGATATACTACGTAACATAAAGGAACAATCTATGTTAACTTTTAGTCATAGAAGCCCATCAACAATGTACACTAAGATAGCCGCTTATGTCTTGAAAAAAAAACAACAGTCTCAGTTGAGAAATTTCTCAAATGTTGAGAAAAAGTTTAGTGAAAGCCAACTTGAGATTTTTCTCAGGTGAGTAAGAATCTCAGTCAATACTGAGACAATCTTAAGTTGAGATATATCTCAGTTTGAGAACGTTAGTGAAAGCCGGGCCAGGTCTGAAAAGTGATGCTCATACCTTTTGGTTTTTATTTTTTGTCAGTAAATAGCACAAGTAAGTTTAATGGTAATTAAGAAAGTAATTAAGTTATTAAATGAGTAATATAATAAAAAAAATAAATAATTCAATAATAAAGTATGTAATTAAATAAAAAAATAAATTTAATCAAATAATTAAGTTTCATGATAGAGTGCACATTATTTTTATCATATACAGCTGTTTTCTGAAAAAAAGGAGAGGACTACCATGAACTATTGTAGCTCTCGGTCCGATTCCTTCCAGCTTAAATTGTTAATTATTAACATGTATATATTACCTTGAATAAAAATGTGTTTAAACCAATTTTCTGAAAAAAATAAATTGAATGTGAATGATGTTAGTGATATCTGAACCTTTTATAAATGTAATATATGAGTCTGTTTATATAAATGTATACATGTGCATGCTTAGAAAGTAAGTATAGCAGTTCTTGCTTAAGGCCGCTATTCCATTCCATTGATACACGATCTGTGACCCGCGTCCGTGATCCGTGTCCGGGCATGTAAGTGAGTATTATTCCATAGGTATGTTATTTTCTATATACTTTTAATTGAAGTATAGCGAACAGAGGATAATTATTTATAGAATATGATATAATTTCATTCTACTACCAAAACCAGTTGTAACATCAAAGAATTAGGTAAAAAGAAAATGGAAAAACATTGAATACCAGTTAGGTTTTTGAATAACATCTCTTTAGCAACCGAAGACCATGTTGTTTTTATTAATCTGTCATTGGTGCATCATAAACTCATGGGTTCTCCAACACTATTTTGGTGAGCTTTTTGTGTCGCCTCTACGGAGTAGTGGCGACTATGGGGATCACTTCTCCGTCGTCTGTCTGTCTGTCCGTCCGTCTGTCAGTCCGTCCGTCCGTCCGTCACAAAACTTGTCCTGACTACTCCTCATAAACTACTGGTGCAATTTCATCCAAACTTTATAGAAATGATCAGTACCAAGTCTAGTTGTGCATATTATCATCATTTTCTGGCTCAATGATTTTTGTCAGAGTTATGGCCCTTAAATAATTTTTAGATTTAAAGTTTGCCCGGACTACTTCTCTTATACCACTATTGCAATTTCAATGAAACTGTACAGGATTGATCTGTAGCACAAGTCCTTGCGCATATTGCACGGGTTTTCCGGTTGAATGATTTTTGGCCGAGTTATGGCCCTTTGATAAAAAGGTGTTTTTTTCTGTGTGTTGCCGGATACACAAAAGCTTGTCCGGACTACTCCTCATAAACTACTGGTGCAATTCCATCCAAACTTTACAGGAATGATCAGTACCAAGTCTAGTTGTGCATATTTTCAGCATTTTCCGGTTCAATGATTTTTGTCAGAGTTATGGCCCTTTAATAATTTTTATTTTTAAAGTTTGTCCGGACTGCTTCTCTTGTACCACTAATGCAATTTCAATGTAACTTTACAGGATTGATCTGTAGCTCAAGTCCTTGCACATATTGCACGGGTTTTCCGGTTTAATTTTTTTTTGGTTGAGTTATGGCCCTTTGATAAAAAGGTGATTTTTCTGTGTGTTGCCAGATACACAAACGCTTGCCCGGACTACTCCTCATAAAATACTGGCGCAATTTTATCCAAACTTTACAGGAATGATCAGTACCAAGTCTAGATGTGCACTGTCTGTCTGTCTGTCCGTCTGTCACAAACTTTGTCTCAACATGAAATTGGCCATCATGAGGCGACACATGTGATCACTGATTGCTCTTGTTAGTATTTTCTTTCAAAATCGATAGAATATTTAATGTTGTTCGAGGCGAGACCTGTCCTCGTCCGTAAAAAAATCGCTCATCCTGTGAAACGTCGCGGATGCCGTCGCAGAAGCAGACAAAAGGAATATATTCAACGTATTCTTTGATGAACGAATCGGTAATGGACGCGGATGACGGACGCAGGGCACTGATCACGTATTTAAATGGAATAGCGGCCTAAGAGTTTATCTCCTTAGTATTTAAACTAATGTAGTCATAGAACACAGTATCTTATTTCTCATTAGAGTTATATACCTTGTCTACTTGTATTATACTCACATACAAAACCACATAATATTACAATAAATTTTGTCGCTGATGGTTTGAAGCTGGTCAAAATTTATATAAGTAGGCATTTACAAAATTAAATTAGTTGTGTGGCTGACTTATTTATTTTCTTGTAAATAGGTACATAAAAACTTTAACCTATACTATAAACTGATGTTTCATGTGTTGTTCTAAAACTGGTTGTCATAACGAAGTTTTACTATTATAAATTTGTGCTTGTTATAATATATCCTCATAAATGGATCATTCATTTTTATGATAACTAGCCTTATGAGCCGCGTCACGACAAAACCAACGTAATGCGTTTAAGACCAGCATGGATCCAGACCAGCCTGCGCATCCGCGCAGTATGACCTGGATCCATACTGTTCGCTTACAAACCCTTTTACAAGTAGAGAAACTGATAGCGAACAGCATGGATCCTGATCAGACTGCTCGGATACGCAGGCTGATCTGGATCCATGCTGGTCTCAAACCCACTATGTTGGTTTTGTCGTGACGCGGCTCAATTATTATGTGTATAACATTACAACATATTGTTATTTAGGGAATTTACATATGTAAATAACCATCAGTTTTAATTAATAAGATTTGTTGTCTTATTTCAAAGTAATTAAATCATATAAATCTATGATATCACTATATCATATTTTTCCTTATATACGATTTTCAATCAATTGTAACCTATGAAACCTTTGAAAGGACAGAGGGTAGTTAGGGAAATGAACATGTAATTGTATTCTAGACTTTATGAGATTCCACCAGCCATTTTAGACACTGTGAGTACAAACCACGATGGGGTATTAAATAAGCTGAATATTTTACCTTTTGACAGCCCTTGATCACTGCCATGTCAATGTGTCAGTTTTGTGCCAAAATGGCTGAGATTTGTCCAGACCACAGTATCAGGGCTCAACTTTAGGCAGAGGAAGGGCATTTTATTGGTTTAATGAAAATCAAAGTCGAAATATCTGCTATTTTCCGGGCTGATTTGACTGGAACATTCTTGAAGCATATGATATTTGAGATTTAGTGTTGTAGGGAATTACCTTGAAATATATAGATACATGTATATATCAGCATTTTTAAGTTATATATTTTTGTTGAAAATTTCAGTTTTGTGAGAAAAGTAACAATGGGAAAAGATGAGAAGAATAAGAATAAAGATTCAGGTTAGTTACAATTTTGAAGTAATTATAAAGCCTCATAATTCAAACATATTTAAAGTTTAAGAAGCAAGATATTTTCTTCCACAAGAGTCTGGTGAATAATTTTATCCTCAATATATAAGCGTGCAGCTTTAACATGTTTAAAGATTTTATTCTCATGATAATTGTTCAAGCAGAGATCTTCCCCTGTAATTATTTATGTTGCTTTCTTGTTAGTCAGGTATATATATAGGCACTTTTTTTGACTTTTGGAATATTGCATCTTTAAAGCAGCATGCCTTCAGATTCATGAAAAAAATTATGATATTTTCTTTAAAAATTTTAAAATGTATTTAAAAGCATAATATTGTGAAGTAACCAAAAGGAAGCAATTAGCACGTCATTATCAATTGCACTTGCAACTCACGTAAATTACCAAAAGGAAGTTACAATATGCAAAAATAACCCTTACTGCATTAGTAAAGCAGTAGAAATATTGTTTTCAAAAGAGCTAGAGCTTAGATATTTATCATGAAACATCTTCTAATGGGTGTCTACCAAGCTTGTTCAAATAAAAGTCTTGGGGTTAAAATTGGCCCAGCCCCGTTGGTCATTATTTTCCCTATATGTATATAGTAAAAACTGAAAAGAAGTTTGTGATATCAGTTTAAGATTTTGATTTTTTATCTGTTTTTGTTTAAAGTGTACAATATAACTTGTTCCTTCGTTGTCAGAGAGAGTTTCTGTTATAACAGGTGAGCGATATCAGGGCCATCATGTCCCTCATGTTTGTTGTAGTAACTGTTGTTAGTTTGACTCTTTCTGATAAGTTAATATATAATTAGTTATTTGAATAGTTATTTATGAATATTTTATGCATGTTATGTTAAATGTTTTTCCATTACCACGTTTAAATTTATGTACACAACTTGTTCATTTTTTTAAATTAAAATTATTACTGTTGAAATTGTGAAGCCTTTCAAGGATTGTGTCCAGCCTGACTGCTCAGATGTGCATGCTTTCCTGGCTTTATGGTATTAGTGCAATCAATGACATTTCAAAAATGACCAATAATTTTTTAGTATCTGTCATACGTTTAGATTTTTCATAAAAAATGTCCAAAATTTCTTACTTGTTTGGCGCCAGCTGTCAAAGCTTGATTTTTAACTTTTTCAACTCCATTCTGAGAAAGACAAATACATACAATTTTAAATAATCTACCGAAATGCTTAGTTTTCAGTTAAACCTCAAAAATACTGCTCATTTCCTACTCACAAACAAGAAAGAATTATAATGACAGAGAAATATCAAAAAGTTTCCAGTACCTTTAAAACACCATAATTATCTCAGTTATTAAAAAAAAATTGACTGGGAGCATCATTCGGATATGTCCCCTGCCCCCTTAATGGCTGTTTTAAATAGTTTACCATAATAGGACTGTTCCATTTCAAAGCAAGACAAATCCAAATACAAATTCAGCAAGGTCAAGGGTAATTTATTAATGAGCAACACTTAATGTTCTATTTAATTGTGAAGGTTGATCATAATTTTACCCAATGCATAACCATCTTCTTTGGATTCTAGAAGGAAAAAAATTAAAATGGAATCCATTTTTAGAAACACATGTAATAGTTAACAACTTTATGTAAATCTATGATTGGGAAAAAGAAATTTCATCTTTATTGTTGAACTGGATTTTATTTTCAATATTTTGTATTTTCATTTGGGTTGTGTTTGTTTTTTGGTTCTGAAATATATATTTTTTATTGTGATGGTATTAATATATATATTACAAAAATGTAATAGGGCACAGCTAGTGGCTGAGTGGTTAAGGTCTTTAACTTCAAAACACTTCTCCCATACTGTTGTACTGGTTTCAATCCTGCCAGTGATTTTAGATAAATTTTAATGGAAGAAGTTATATCCAGGTAGTTTAGGGAATGTCAGTGGTTTTTACTCAGTTGCCTGCTTGTGACTGTAATAATGAATGGAAATGGGCACCTGAGCTCTTCCTTCACCAATAAAGCTGGAAAGTCACCTGTGTTTGTGCAATGTTAAACCCAACAAAGAAATCTGCTTCGCAAATCATATACCATGCATGTACAGAAATGCAACATATATAACATAATTTTTATTAATATTGTGATTTATCATATAATTTGTATCATACATAATTATGAATATATTAAAGTAATGAATGATCTATAGTTGAATTTTTTATTGTGTTTCAGAAACAAAGGCAATGAAATTCAAGGCAATTGTCTCTTATGAAGCTAAACATGAGAATGAACTAACACTGACTAAAGGAGATTCTATAAATATTATAGATAAAGATTTAGAAAAAAGTGGATGGTGGAAGGGGGAATTAAATGGTCAAAAAGGTGTCTTTCCAAAAAACTGTGTAGAAATCATCAAAGAAGGGGTAAGAGTGATCTGCCTTTAATTACTTAATATCTTCTTTTTATCAAATTTTATCATGTAAGGATTTTTTTGTTATAATCAAATGATCATGAAAACCTGTTGTAGTGAGCAGATTCTACTTTCTATTTAAGACTGGGAAAGACATGGATTGTTTTTGAAATTTACTTTATACATATATGTATGCATTTTAAGTGATATGTTGAGGACTTTACAATAAGTTATTTGCTTAGAAAGATAATTCTTAGATCTCTTAGATCTGTGTGGTACAGATTTTTTATGAATGCTTGGATAAAGTTAATAAATGAAACACTTCTACATGTTCTAAGATTGTGCTAAACAGAGAAAGACTGAAAGTGTTGTTAAAACATAGAGATCATAAAATTTTGATATTTTTCTTTATTATTTTTTTTTTAACCAGACTTTAAAATTATACAGAAATATTTGAAAATCTTTATTTACAGTACATTTTATATTTTAAGTGTGTGTATTTTCCATAAAAAACACTATACCTGTATAATAATAATACTTCAACTTCAAAATGACTTAAAAATTAAATTTCTGACTTGTCATTCATAAGCTTCAAATTAAAAGGACATTGTATGTGAAAATATGTTTTTAAAAAGGCAGATTTTCATCTTCGTAATAAATTCTGGAAACAAAGTGATCCCTCGGAAGCATTAATCACAACAAAATAACATAAGAATTGCAGACTCGGTTTGATTGAGTATGTACATGAGGGATAATGAATAAGTGCAACATCCCTCACGCCCCCCTAGCACCGGCTTGAGCAGTACTCAATTCTCAACACTTAATAGTGCTGGCATCAATGATCCCGAAGGACCAGAAAATATAACAACACTGAAGTGAAGTGCGGGGCAACTTTTTACGGCTGCCACAAGGCACTTGACACTTGCTGTTGTGAAGTAAAAAATTCTGGAAACAAAGTGATCCCTCGGAAGCATCAATCACAACCATCATAAAGCCATTTTGTTTGCACATCTTATCTTGCAAATGTAGTCCTACATGTACTTAACTTGTAAATTTTCAATTACGATTATTTTCAGGTAAACAAAGACACACAACCCACGTGTAACTTTTATTTCCCCTATCAATGTTGTCCTAAATAATCAATAGCAGTAGCTGTTGCATAATAATTTTTTTTAATATGACCATGTATTTAAGCCACTTCAGAATTTTAACATGATCTGAATATTTTTTCTGCAAATGTTTTTTTTTTTTTGCATTAGTAGTAAATAGATGGCTTTATTATAAGTGTTAAAAAAACTCAGAGAAGGGTAAGTGATTGTAATGTTGCTAAAATATAGTAACAAAATTAAATTTTAAACAAGGACTAATGCTTGACTATTCTTAGTGCTTGATAGTAAAAGAGCCTTGATAATATAAAATTTTCTAAGTTAAAAAAAGGGCAACATTTTTCTTTAAATCCATGTTACAGTTATAGGCCTTGGAAAGAGTCCTATTATGCTCTCAAAAGAAGAATTTCAACTTGTTTCAAAGCTTGATGTCAATATAATATGAAAATAGCTGAGGTGGTTCATGTACACAAACTTTTATGTAAATTCTAAGTTGAAAAAGGGGCTTCAATCTGCCAAATGCTTCATAGAGTTACCCCCTCCTGTCTACAGGTTGGGGTCATGATGGTGAACAAAGTGTGCAAAGTTTCAAAGTCATATGTCAATGGACTTTGAAAATATTCTACATGTCACAATGACCAACAACTTCTGTTACACAGAGAATGACCTCAGGTGACTGATGAACAGATAGCAGATTTGGTCAAGGGACATAATGACACAACGTTAAGATTAAAGTCAAACAAGGTCGACAGAGTTGTCTTTCTTGGAAAATAACAAAAAACCTTAAAAATAGCATTTGGTTACATATTTATAAAGCTACAAATTTAGATACAAATATATTGTTAATAAGGTGAGATATAAAGGCACAGTAAACTGGGCTTATAAGATGCATTATTAATCTGCATAGAACATCAAGTTATATCAGCTTATGTATTTTGATTGGTTGGTTGAAATTGTATATTTATATAATTGTTGCATACACCACATTAACTTTTTAAACAATATTGGATCTAATAGGCAAGAGTTAGGGTATGTAGAAATAAGTGTAATCTGCAGTTAAACAGTGTTTTTAGCTCGACTATTCGAAGAATATGAGAGCTATTGTAGTCGCCCCGGCGTCGGCGTCCGCGTCGGCGCCTGCGTTGGTTAAAGTTTTTTGTAAAGTCAAATATCTCAATTATTGCTGGAGATATTCAATTGAAACTTACAATACTTATTTATAGTAACAAGGTACATCATATTGACAAGTTGGATAACTCTACCTACAATATTGACAGAATTATGCCCCTTTTTAACTTAGAAATTTTGGTTAAAGTTTTTTGTTAAGTCAAATATCTCAATTATTGTTTGAGATATTCAATTGAAACTTACAATACTTATTTATAGTAATAAGGTACATCAGATTGACAAGTTGGATAACTCTGCCTACAATATTGACGGAATTATGCCCCTTTTTAACTTAGAAATTTTGGTTAAAGTTTTTTGTTAAGTCAAATATCTCAATTATTGCTTGAGATATTAAATTGAAACTTACAATACTTATTTATAGTAACAAGGTACATCAGATTGACAAGTTGGATAACTCTGCCTACAATATTGACAGAATTATGCCCCTTTGAACCTTAGAAATTTTGGTTAAATATTTTTTGTAAAGTCAAATATCTCAATTATTGCTTGAGATATTCAATTGACATTTACAACACTTTTTTATAGTAACAATGTTCATCATTTTGCAAAATTGCATAACTCTGTCTGCAATATTTGCAGAATTATTTGCCCCTTTGAAACTTAAGAAATTTTGGTTAAAGGTCTTCAAAGATATTTACTTGAAACTTTACACGTGTACTAAGGGTCATAATTTGAGGGTCATAATTGTATGTCACTGACCAAGTTCCATAACTCTATCTTGCATTAAGGCTGATTCATATCCCCTTTTCTACTTAGTCTCTTGGTTAATGTTTACATGCAAGTTTTACATATCTCAATAACTATTAAAGACATTTATTTAAATCTTCACATATGCATTTAGGGTCAGAATTGTAGGTCACTGACAAAGATACATAATTCTTTCTTGCATTTAGGCTGATTTTTCTTCCCCTTTTCAACTTAGAAATTCATGATAAAGTTTTGCTTGTAAGCTGTTATCTCCATAACTACTGAAGGGTTTGTGCCTTTTTTGGGACAATTTTATGCATTCATAATAATAAAGCAGTGATTTACTTGATAAAACATCTTAATAACAAGCCTTTGTACCTTTTCTGTCAAATTTATGTATTCATAGGTAATTAGTATTATTATACTCAATAAAACACCCTTGTGACATTAACTTCCAAATAGTCAAGCCAATACTGTATAATTAGACCCTCTCTAAGGCCTATAACATGAATTTATAAAAAAAAGATTAGCCCTTTGGTGAACATAAAAAATTTAACATTATCAAGGCTCTTTTACTATCAAGCACTTAGAATAGTCGAGCATGCTGTCCTACTGACAGCTCTTGTTATATATCTTTTTTCCCATAGATTTCTGCAGTACTATAATGAAGTACTTTCCCTGCATGCTTTTAAGTAATAGAATTTCCTTACTAAAGTTACTAGAGATAATGAGCCGCGTCACGACAAAACCAACATAGTGCGTTTACGACCAGCATGGATCCAAACCAGATCATAGATCCATGCTGGTCACAAACGTACTATGTTCGTTTTGTCGTGACGCAGCTCATATAGAAATGACAAGATCCTGATATTTCAGCCTACTCCAAAGTCATCACCAGGCAAAACCCCAGCAGATACAGAACAATCCAAATCAGATCCTGTGAAAGGTAAGTTTTACATTATGTATGACTTCATAGATAAATAGTGTGAAATAAAAATGTTGGTGAGCTGAATAAGGGAGAAAGAAGCAAAATATAATATCATCCAGTGTTGCATCTAGGCTGTGTAATATTCACATAATGTTTGCAGATTGTGCATTTAAAGAAAGTTGATGCGTGCCAAGTTGCACGTCCTGATGATCTTTTCAACTGAATTCAGTTAATCTTCATCATTTCTTGAATACTTTTCACTCGTGGTAATGACTAAAATACATGTATATACTAAATCACTTTAACCACGGGACTGGATCATCTCACATGTGTATTGACGTTTTATTTGCGCACTTTCCTGGTAGACCGTATGGTTTCCGCAGATTATCTTGAAAACTGTTTATAACAAAGTCTTCATATTTCACATAGTAATTGGTCATCACTAGTAGATGACCACTATTGATTTTGGGGTTACAAGATCAAAGTTCAAGGTCACAGGGGCCTTGAATGTCAAAATGATTCCCGCTGATTATCACAAAGTCGTCATATTCCACATACTGATTTGTAATTACTAATAGATGACCCCTTCTGGGGTCGCTAGGTCATATGTCAAGGTCACAGGGGCCTTTAATGTCAAAATTGTTTCTGCTAATTATCTTGAAAAGTATTCATCACAAAGTGGTTTTACATAGTGATTAGTCATAACTAGTTAATGACCCCTAATAATTTTGGGGCCAAAGGTCAAGGTCACAGGGGCCTTAAATGACAAAATGGTTTCTGCTGATTATCTTGAAAAGTATTCATCACAAAGTTGTCATATTTCACATAGTAATTGGTCTTTACTAGTAGATGACACCTACTGATTTTGGGGTCACTAGGTCAAAGTCACAGGGGCCTTGAATGGTTAAATTATTATATTGGTTACAATTTATCACAAAGTCTTCATATTTCACATATTGATTGGACATAAGTAGAAGATGAGCCCTATTGATTTAAGGGTCATTAGATCAAAGGTCAAGGTCACAGGGGCCTAATCTGTCTGAATGGTTTCCCCTGATTATCATGAAAAGTGTTCCTCACAAAGTTTACATATTTTACATATTGATTGGTTGTAACAAGTAGATGACCCCTATTGATTTTGGGTCACTAGGTCAAAGTTCAATGTCACAGGGGCCTTAAATGTGAGAATGGTTTCTGCTCATTATCTTGGTTACAATTCATCACAAAGTCTTCATATTTCACATATTAATTGGTCATAACTAGTAGATGACCATTATTGATTTTGGGGTCACAAGGTCAAAGGTCAAGGTCACAGGGGCCTTGAATGGTAATATTATTTCTGCTTATTATTTTGGTTACTATTTATCACAGTCTTCATATTTCACATATTGAATGGTTATAAATAGTGGATGACCTCTAACGTTTTTTCGGTCACCATGTCAAAGGTCAAGGTCAGGATCTTTGGATGGTAGAGGATTTCAGCTCATTATCTTGATAGATAATTATCACAAAGTCTTCATATTTCACATACTGATGGGTCATAACTTACAGATGATCTGTCTTGCTTTTGGAGACATTCAGCTATTAAAATACAAGATTTATGTATTTACAATATTTTATTTCTTTTGTATTCTAGAGCTGCCATCAAATTGGAAAGAGTAAGTTTTCAATATTTATATATTTTGTACATGTAACAAGTAATTGCCTTGGAGGTACTCAAATTTTTTATGCCACCGCAGCATCTGCGATGCTGTGGCATATAGTGATTCAACTGTTTGTGTGTGTTTGTGTGTGTGTACGAGGGTTGTCCCAAAAGTCCGTGACAAATTTTATAGCCGGTTCATTTTTAACGCCAACAGAAAATAATTCACACATATAACCGTTAAGTTTATTATTTAACATTACAACAAATCATTTACAAAAAATTTACCCTAGTTACTTAGAAATTTTCAGTATTAACGACATTGGTTTGAGTTGCCGGCGCACGGCAAATAATTTACATTTTGTTATAAATAGGCTGAAATTAATTACGTATATTTCAAATATCTGATGATGTGTCTGCACAATGTCACGTTGATTTCCTCTGCTGCTATGTTTAAATCATCTCTGAAAATTTTAGTTAAATAACTTAAAAAACGAAAAAGATACGAATAAATGAAAATATCTCATATAAAATAGGAAAGTTAAAATGGCGACGTTCGAAGAATTTGCGGCGCAGTGAACAGGTCACTCAGGTTTCATGACTATTTCGAGATGACACATGTAACGATTTTCAACAAATATACCAAATATAACAGTTAAGCAACATATTCTGAGCATTTGTGTACAAAAGGCATGAACGGAACCAGAGTTTAGCGCTACAAAAAGCGAAAATAAGCAAAACACGGATAGGAAGACCGATCTTCGTCGCCTATTTCCTACAGCTAAAAACAGGAGTAACGAGACCGGAAGTTCGCGTATAGCAAAAATTAATGTATGCCATCCAAACATTCAACAGACATTAACAACCACATGATTTAAGTCAGAAATTGACGATTTATGGGTACCATTATTGCGTTGAAAGCCATTAAGAGTATTTGAGAAAGGCGCCTTATATAGATTTAACGCTGTCTTTGACGTTGGACGTGCGCCGCGATTCAGTTAGTTGCCATGGTGTTTATTGCATATTTTTGTTGTTTGTTGATATTTATCTATGAAAATTTGTGAAAATGTTTAAATTATATGGGTTTATAACATATTAAAATATCAAATTCGTACCTCTTTTATTTAGCTTTTAATCAATCTTGTCACAGAATATTGGGACAACCCTCGTATGTGTTTTATAGATTATAATTATCTATAGTGAACTTAAAAAATCTTTTTTTTTGAAAAACCACAAGTCTAATTTGAACCAAACTTGGCAGGATTGATCCTTGGGTGAAGGGCTTCCAAAGTTGTTCAAAGAATTTCATTCCATGCAGAAATCTGGTTGCCATGGCAACCAAAAGGAATTATAAGAATACATTTAAAAAATCTTCTTGTAAAGACCCAAAAGGCCTAAAGCTTAGATATTTTGCATAAGGCATTGTCTGGTAGACCCTTACCAAGATTGTTCAAATTATAGCCTTGGGGTCAAAATCAGCCCCGCCCCAGGGTCAATGATTTTCACTATATGTATATAATTTGTAAAAACTTAAAGTAAAATCTTGAAAAAAAATTTCTCCTAACAATTGAAAAATGATAGAGGTAAGATATTTTGCATGAAACATTGTGAAGTGAACCTCTAGCAAAATTGTTTAAATTATAGCCCTGGGGTCAAAATTGTCCCCGCCGCAGGGGTCATTGATTTTCAATTTATACATATAGAAAAAAATCGAAAAATCTTATTGTCTGAAGGTACAAGGCTTAGAGCTTTAATTTATGTTGAATGATATCTTCTATAGGTACTTTACCAAAGTTGTTCAAATTTTGCCTCTAGTGTCAAAATTAGCCCCGCCCTGGGGACCATAGGTTTTCCTTATATGTATATAGCTAAAACTTAAAAAATCGTCTTCTCTAAATTTACAAAGGCTAGAGTTAAGATACTTTGCATGAAATATTGTGTAGTGAACCTCTAGCAAGATTGTACAAATTATAGCCCTGGGGTCAAAATTGTACATATTGTAAAAAATTAAAAAATCTTATTGTCTGAAGGTCCAAGGCTTAGAGCTTTGATATTTGGTATAAAATATCATCTATGGATCCCCTTCTAAAGTTGTTTTAATTATGCCTCTAGTGTAAAAATTTGCCTGCCCCAGGGCAATAGTTTTCCTTATAATATATATATATATATAGTAAAAACTTGAAAAATCTTCTTCTCTGAATTGACAAAGGCTAGAGGTTAAATAATATGGCATGAGACTTTGTGTAGTGAACCTCTACAAAGATTGTTCAAATTATAGCCCCGGGGTCAAAATTGGTTCCGGTGGGGGGGGGGGGGGTCATTGATTTTCATTATTGTACAAATAGTAAAAAAAAAAAATATTTTTGCCTGAAGGTACAAAGCATAGAGCTTTGATGTTTGCTATATAATATATAATATCATCTATAGGTCCCCTACCAAAGTTGTTCAAATTTTTCCCCTGGTGTCAAAATTGGCCCACAGCCCAGGGGCAGTGATTCTCATTATATACACATAGTAAAAACAGAGAACAAAACAAATGTTTTTTGAATGGGAGAAAGCTACAGCTTAGATATTTGACTTGAAATGTTGATTGGTGGACCTGTATCAAGATTGTTTGAATAAACCCTTCGGTCAAAATTTTGCCTTGCCCAAGAGGACAGTGACCTACTTTCTTGTCCTTTGATGTACAGCTATGAAATTTGAACCTTGTGCACATATTAAGATGCAAAGTGAACTTTGATATCAACTGACCTAGATTTTGACAAAGTGTATTACTGTGTTGTCCTTTGATGTAGTAATGAAATTTAGGCTGTGTGAAATATGACCTTCACCACCAAATTCACTAGACTCAAGTGCATTTATATATTCCTACTCTGATCTTTTATTGGATTAACAATAGATTTAACCACTAATCTGATAATAAGAATTAAATAGGTCAGGCTTCTATGTATTATGACAATTTTCAATTGTATAGAAACAAAAATATATGTTCCTACACTACTACATTTTGTATTTAGTGTTGTATTCATGCCGTGGCATAGCATTTTTCTCAAATGTAATCTTGTTATGAATATAATAAGTTTTTCTTTTTCTGAAACTCATAAAATATGAATAAAATGCAATTTTGAATATAGTACATTTATTTTGTAAAGTTTGTAAACAAAACTTTTATTAATATTTACATTTTGTAAATTAAAATTCTGAAAAAGATTTATGAATTGAAGGAAAAATGATATTTACTCTTATCATTTAGGTCATGGGTTTGGAGACATGGTTTAATTATAGCATGGATTTTGTTTGCATTTGGAGTGCAATATTTACTCTCTGGGAATTTTGATAAAAAAGACATTAAGGCTGTTGAAATACGAGATATGGAAAGAAGACAAGCAGATTTTGAGATGTCTTTATCAACATTAAAAAAGCAACAAATAAATGATAAAGGCATCCTCCATGATATGGTGAAGAAATTTAAGAGTGAAATGAGAAATAAAGATGATGAAAAAACAAAATTAAAAGAATTAACCAATAAAGTAGATTCTGCAGTAAGTGATGTAAGTTCTACAAATGAAAAATTAAATGATCTTGAAAAAGCAAAAGAGACTTTAGAAGATAAATATAAGGAAATAGAGGAAAACTTTCGAAGTAAAATTAAGAATTTGGAATCCACTTTTAATGATAAGATATCTGCTGTAGACAAGTTTGTTAAAGAGTTTGAAGAAACAATTTCAAAACATAAAGCATCCTTGGAAACATTTGAAGGTAAAACTAATCGTAAAATGCAAGAGATGACTGAAGCATTTGAAGATAAAAGTGCAACAATAAAAGAGCAGGTAAAGGATTTCTCTAACGATTTTGACCAAAAACTTACTGAATATAAAAAAGCAAAGAGTGATTTGGATAAAAGTTTATCAGCTGTCATGAAGGATGTTGACACTATTAAGCCAAATACTTTCAACAAAGGTAGTTATGTCATTTCAATATTGTTTAATTTATGCATAAATCATGAGGTATTTTATTTATCTTTGCAAATCTTGCTTGAAACTTTAACATATTTGCTTTACAGTTTCAACTTTACCCCCCTTAACCTGCAAAATGGACTTGTCAAGCATCTAATTGTGGAATTGTACATTTCAGTTTTAGGTATATCAAGATGAATATTGAAATCATAAAGTCATTGCATAACAATATAAAGCCTAGTCAGACTGCAGGGATTTACAGGCTCTTAATTATTACCTAATTAATGCTAATTACTTTCAGTTCTGGCATGCTAAGGGTTAATATGATATAGTATTAGGAAGCAAGCAGATAGTGTGAACATTTAGCATGTTATAAAGGCCAGTCTGTATTATCCAGGTTGTCCCACAGTCTGTAGGGACCACGGGACATTTTCAAGAATTATAGATTTCATACTGACAAGTTAAAAAGTCAGATAATGCCAGCCCTGAAGTCATTTTTATTGCTACCTAGGATCCATTTTATGTCATGACCGTAGATAGGGTATGTCAAGTCTTTTGAATTGTTTAAGTATTAATTTCAATGAGCCTTTAATTTAAATGTTATTACATGTATTACGATAAAGTGTAGCAAAAAGAGTCCAAAAAGATAGTTTATATCCTAATAACTGATAAGATGTAAATGTTTGTAAAACTAAAACAAAAAATCCAAGAAGTGTGTGCAGAATTACTTTTTAACACGAACATTGTGATGTCATGATATACTGACATCTATAAGGTCAGGGCTTGACAGCATTTGATAGAAATCAGTGTGAAATAAACAATTACCTTTAAATAGATATAAAATAAATAAGGTATTTGTTATTTTTGCAAAATTTAGATCACATTATGGGTCTTTCATAAACACCAGTTGTTATAATTCAACTTCTTACAAAACCACTTGTGACATTGTTGTATCTAATACCATCTGTGGCAGTGTTCAACTCATGAAAGTACTGCATCTAAATACCACTTAATTGAAACTATGCCACTCATGAATATATTTCATCTAATACCACTTATGGCTATGCCACTAATTAGCTTTATATGCAACTAATGACAATTGTGCTTATTATGTCACTTGAACACGCCACTCATAAAAAGGTTGCATCTTTAATCACTTGTGGCAATGACACTCAAGAAAAAATGCCTTTAATACCAATTGTGGCAATACCCTTCATGAAATTGTTTCATCACTAAATACCACTTGTATAGTGCCACTCACGAATATATTTCATCAAATAATACCCGTGTGGCTATACTGCTACTTGGCTATGCAACTGCTTCTAATACCACTTGTGGTTATGCCACTCATGAAAATATTGTATCTGATACCACTTGTGGCTATGCTCTACAAGGTATTGTTTCTTCTGAGACCACTTGTAGATGTGTCAATCATGCATATATTTTATTTTATGCAAGTTTTGGTTATGCCACTCATTAAAAATTGCATCTTATTCCATTTGTAGATAAACCATTCATAAAAATATTGCATTATACCACTTGTAGCTATGCCACCCATGAAAATGTTGTATCTAATTCCATATGTGACCTTGCCTTGCAAAAATATATTTGTCATAAATACCACTTGTGGCTATGCCACTCATTAAAATTTTGCACTTGCAGCTACGCTATTCATTAAAATGTGTAATAGCCCATGTAGTTATGCAACTCATAAAAATCTTGTATCTAATACCACTTGTGAATAAGTCAAAATCACATTGATATCTAAATAATATTATTCTAAACAAATTTGTGTACAATGCGTATTTGAATGTCTATTTTTAGTACCATATTACATTAAAGATAATCCACTATTTTATATTTTTCAATAACATATTTCACCATGATTTAATATTTCTGATGACAGTACAAAAGTTCCAAAGGTAGTAGAATCTTTAAAGGCCCATTCAGCCTAAAAAATGCTTAGCATTTTACTTTTCAAAATTTTTAGTCATGCTGTTATTTTCCATAAGGTTACTCACTGGCCATTTTTACGCTTCTTTTTTGTGTTTTAACAATAATTAAGTTATACTGATATAGTATTTTGTATGTAAGTCAAAATACCACTTTGTTTACATTTGTCTACTTTAATCACAAGCCATTTCACATTCAGTAATATAATCGTCAGGTTATAAGCATGATCTAAATTCATTTTAAGCATTATGAAACACATGTTTAATCTTTCCGCACAAAGAAAAAAATCATTTCTGAGTTTAAATGTGCCTGTAATAAAATAAGTAAAGGTTTCCTTACACCCTTTCAATACTTAATAAAATGTTTATGATTCTGCGTTTTAAAAATTGATTTTTTGTAAGGAAATTTTGATTATTTTTGGAGAAACTAATACAAAGAATACATAATAATTATGTTTTTTTAGAGAGTTTAACCATGGCATTTATTATTGTGGTCCTGTTTGAGTTTATTCTGGCATTATGGATATATCTTGTACAATGCGGCCGCTCAACTTATTCAGATTCATCTGATGGATCCAAAGACATGGTAATGTGGTATCCTAGTTTCTTCTTTAGATTTGAACCGCATAAAGACAAAACCAACATAATGGGTTTGCGACCAGCATGGATCCAGACCAGCCTGCGCATCCGCGCAGTCTGATCAGGATCCATGCCGTTCGCTCACAAACCCTATTAAAAGTAGAGAAGCTGATAGCGAACAGCATGGATCCTGATCAGACTGTGCGGATGCGCAGGATGGTCTGATTTCATGCTGGTCTCAATCCCACTATGTTGGTTTTATCTCGACTCGGCTCATTTAATATATTTATCTAAGCTTGATTTTTAAACAAGGTTTTGCATTTTATTTGATTTTTAAGCATCCTGAACTAACCAGTACTGGTGTCATTTAAGGGACCATTGTTGTGACCAGAGTAAGGCTTGAACCCACTATCACTGTTGAGTTGTGAGACTCAAACCTTTAACCACTATGATACTGCTCCACTTGCTTATTGAAGCAACAAACTTTAAGATCTATAAATTTATAATTTCTCTTCATCTTGATTTGTTTGTTGTTTAAAATATGCCAAAAGTGCACAGAATTGATATAAAATGTCAAATTAATATAACACTAACACTTACATGTATTTCATAAACTAGGGACACCTTTGGCTGAGTGGTTATGGTCGCTGACTTCAATTCTAACACTGCTATGGTTTCAGAGACTTTGGATTACTTCATGTATTGAAAATGTGTAGATAGCTTACAGACAGTCTTGTTCCTGAAATAATACATGGCAGGGCACCTGAGGTCTTCCTCCAACAGTGAAGCAATTGAAAAACATTTGCCATATGACCTTAATAGTACCAAGTGTTATGGAATACCCAACCAAAATACAAACAGTTATATTTGTAGATAATGTTATAAGTTTTTCTTTACAGACTGCTAGAGATGTATTAGAAAGAATTCCTCGTCGAGTAGCTTTATCTGATTTTGTCTGCATTGTAAGTTTTGATGAAGCACGACAGACAGAACATGACACCCTGGTCAAGTCTGCGTTAGGAACAATGCAGGACATTCAAATGAAATACTTTGTTGTACGTCGACATGAACACTTGCTAAAATTGCCTAAATGTAAATTCTACATTATGTGTACAGAATTCTCAGAAAGGTATATTTCTTATTAGTGAATTTATATCTCTAATTATTGATTTTATATGTCTAATTAGTGAATTCATATCTCTAATTAGTTGATTTGTACCTCTAATAAATTTATTTGTTTCTTCATTAATATATAGAGGATATTGAATGAGTTTAGGTTTAATACTAAATTGATTGAACGAGTTGAATAAAATCATATTATGCATGTTAACTGTAAGGAAAACAAACATTCCCTTTATATCTTTATTTGATAAGTTATTATTGTTCTCTTTTTATTTAAGACATGTTATTATAGAAGAACCAGGATTGGGTCTAGGTGATTTGAAGAGGTGTACTTATGAAGTTATTCAGAGATACAGAGGTATTGCTTGTTTAACTTTTACCCCTTAATATGCTGCATGTCTGGATTGGACTCATGTCATGTTTCTATGTTTGGAATATTTTTATTATAATTTTCAGGGATATCAGGCTGCAAAATTTAAAGTTAATAATCCAACTGTATAGTGTATACACAGACTGCATGGAAGTGTACATGTATTTACTGACTAGGCTTAGTACTGAAGGCAAGGGCAGCTAACCCCGAAAATGTGTTAAGGTTTATATTAATATACTGAGATTTCACTAAATATTCTGGGCCTGAAAATTCTTGGTCACTTATTTCATGGGTTCTTACATTTCTGCACTTTTTTCCAAGAGGTCAATTTTGAAGGTGATGTCACATTGAATGTTTGATGCCATCATAATGTATTATATAACAGGCAGGTTGTATGTATAACAAATTTAGCTGATTGTTAAATATCACATTCAAAACAAGTGACTAGCCTATGATCAATATTGCTTTTACTTTTTTTTGTCAATGACTATTTTTTTTATTATTTTTTTACAGCTAATATGGTTATCTTGTATACACGTGATCCTGGATCCAGGAGTCTTGGAAAAGAGCTGTATAATCCTAACATCTATTGTGTTGCTAAGCAACCAGAATTGATCGGTCTTCGTGATAAAGGACGATTTATAAGCACATATGACACGCTTACAGAAGAACAGAAGAGGGTTTTATATGATGACATTGCTAAATGCATGAAGTGATTTGATTAGTGTTGGAGTGTTAATTATTTGTGAAGACTTGGTTATGTGACTTCATGATAATATTACCAGGCAAATGAATGTTTATTTAATGTGACATAATAATATTAGTAATATATTTATAGTCATCTTCTAACAAAGTCAAAAATAATTTTGGCCTCTGACTTAAAAAAAACTTGTATATTAATGCATGGAAAAATTTCTGTTAATAAGACTTTTTTTTCATTTTGAAGTGCTTAAATTTGTTCCTAGTTTAACATTATATACATAGTTTATAATGGTACACGTTTTTATTTGTTAACCAATGTTTTTGCTTCAATGCTTGACTGTATACTAAGGTAATGTATTTTATGAAGACTTTAAAGGGAGACACAGGCAAATTTTTCATTTCTTAGTTTTGATTTTTTTATTCATTATTCTGTAAATGCCATCAAAATGAATATATTAGACAGTCAATGGAACAAAACTTTTCTCCATATAAAGAATAAAATGGTGGTTTCCTAACTTGACCCGCGTGGGTCAGGTTAGAGCGCTATGATTTCGCAATATTTGTCACAAAGTGAACTCTGGAAACGTTAAAGAAGTTTTCAAATGAATGACATAGACTTGTTTCAATCATACAATATCCAAAATATCTGTTATTGTAACTTAAGGGGTTTGTTCAAGTCTCCTGACTTGTTTTAAAACTATTCGGTGATTCTATTGGCGTCAAAATTTTGTTCAACATATATAGATATATTTACGTTTCAAACCCAAAATATATAAACTTCAAACAGAAATTCATGCTGAAATTTCAAGAAACGTCATTTTAGCCTGATTTGAGTACATAAGCTCATTTTAATATTTTTGTCAATATTTTGCCTAAATATCCCTTTAAGGTCATTTCTTATACATAATTATATTGCTATAAAAATCAATTTTACCCCATTACTTTATATAAATATTTGCAAGGACATTCTGTAATAGAAATGTTTTTTACCAATAGAGATTTATTGAGGGTAAATCACCTGTATATTTACCTGTATTCACCTGAATATAATAGGTGTCAAATTATTTTCTTGCAAAGAGAATCATTGCCTCTATCCATAGATTTGGTGGCTAATTGATTTTGTATGTCTGTCTGTTTTCCTATATGTTTGTCTATCACAAAACTTTAACCTAGACAATTACACAAAGGTCTTGGTTCGCAGGTTCATATACCTTGATTAACTCTCCCCAAAAGAACTTCTATGAGGTCCCAGGATCAGGGGCCAAAGATCAATGTCACCACGACCCCACTTTAATCTTATTCATGAAAATGTTCTTCAATCCAAAGTGTTGTAAATACATGTATGCACCTTCATCATCACAAACTACCAGACAAATAGAGCAATAAAACAGAAGTCCTTTAATCAAAAGCCTTCCAATTTCACAGATGTCTGCAGTTTGATATTCTCTATCCATAAGACCCACTTAGATAGGTCACTTGGTCAAACGTCAACATGACCACTAACTTTGGCCATAAAACAGAATCCCTACATATGAATTTATGATAAATTATTGATATTCATAACTTTATAAAGTCAGACTAGAAGAACAGAAAGCTGTCATCTTGAAGAAAAATTATTTAACTTGAGAATTATCAGCTTTGTTTTAATAGAGGTTTAAAATCTTTATGTGGTCTATAAATGTTCTAAAATAAAATATGTCAGCGAAACCCCATCAACATATAATGTGAAATGTGTAAGGTTGGGAAACAACATATCCCCTGCTGTCAGGGGTATAATTGTTCCACAACTGATAGATTTTTATTTTCGTACCTTCTTATCCTTTCTTGTTGGTGTATGTATGGTTGCTTTGTATATAATTTGCTTGTTATGAAGTTTTATTATGTATTAAGTCCCTCCGATACTTCTGGAATATTTGAAATAAAAGAGATTTTGTGTTATGCTCATTTCTTCTTGTTTTTCTTTACATTGATATCAATTTCATTTTGTTGTATCATTTTGTAAGACGGAATATTGATGAATAACGTATGGTATGATAAAATATATGAGCTCTATATGTGCATGTACTTAACCTGCCTGATGTAAAGTCTCTGTGACAGAGTGAATAAGGAGCATAATACAAAGTCATTAACCACTCACCTTTGTATATGTATATAGTCTCAATGACAACATGAATTATTCTAGTATATAACTATATGGTGCCTCTTCAGCAAGGTTATGATCAGTACTTGATTTTACAAAGAAATGATGTAGTATATACATGTACCATTATATACTGGAGATAGGCATTGCAACATGAATGTACTGGGCATTTATCAAAATGGAGAAAAGTGTAATGATAGTTTTATAACACAACCATTTAAACATTTAGTGATATGATTATTAAAGTAATGATTTAACATTTTTATATGATATATTTAAAGCAAAGAAAAACGACTGTTAAAACACTTGGTATTCTACAGTTACGAATAGCATTTAGGATATTTTTGATTCAATAAGTAAATAGAAAATAAGTAAATATTTATAGAAATGGTGACCTCCCTTTGCTTATGAAACTGAAGTCAAAAGTTCTTTTTCTTAAAATTTTAAAACTATATTGCTTGAATTATTTTACTATGTTTCATGTGCCATAACATCAAAGATAGTAAAATTATAGTGAGCTTACGATTTTCGTTTTTTTGTAGTCAGAACTAAAGTTAAGATTCTTATACATGTAGTTGTATCTAAAAATGTTTTTAATCGTTGACACTTTGCAAATCTGAAGGAGGCAAATCCACCAAGGAAAATGACAATAATTTCAACATCATTACATTGTATTAAAATCTATAAGTAAAATTTTGTTCATCAAGTGCACACCATTTCTTATAGCACTGTCCTATAGCAGATTGACTGCTGACTTCACAAGTGATATGTGATAAATCATAGTGTTCCCGAGTGTTTCATACCTGGACCCCTTTTATTATTTTCAATCTAGGTTAATGATTGTCAACTTTTGTTAAATATAGTCACTTTTTAATGCTGATGATTCTTTCATTTTGATCACAGTTAAAGATGTATGCCATATTGAAGCTGTATTAGCTGTACTAGTTACTAAGGTCAAATGAAAGCTGTACTAGCCACTAATGTCAAAATGGAAGTTGAACTCGCCACTTAGGTAAAATTGAAGCTGTAATACCCACTTATGTCAAATGGAAGCAGTAATCGGTAATAAGGTTAAATTGAAGCTGTACAAACCAGCAGATTGGAAACAGTCAGTGCTAGATTGTTTGTAACTAGTTATCCCTGCATTTAGGCAAAACAGAATCCATCTTATTCGGACTTTCACCTTAAATAAGGTCTAAATTTAGCATGAATATAGCATGCAATGCAAATATTTAATATCAATGTTGTGAACTTGGTGCCAGATCAGATGTGCTAAGGTCATGACAAGCTCTGTCATAAGTGAAGCTATTATAAGGTTAAAGTTTTTATAGGAAAAGTAAGTTTCTAACACAACATACAATGCACACAGACATTACTTGTTTATCTTTAATGGTTGTGCCTGTACTTGCCGGTTAAATGCGTGACAATAGACCTCTTACTACCCAAAATAGATTACCAAGTAGTTGGCTTTGTTTTGTACATGGGCTCTGCAGCTCAGTTTGGTCAAGTTTAGTTGAAGTTTTTAAAGCAGCACGCCTCCAGATTCGTGCTAATTTTCATGAAAATTTTGAAAATGTACTTAAATGACTGTGTGATATTGTGAAGTAACCAAAAGGAAGCAATTTACACATTATCGATGACACTTACAAGCCACGTAAATTACCAAAAAGTGTCAAAATATGCATAAATAGCCTTTATTGTGTTAGTAACGCAGTAGAGATATAGTTGTAAATACTGAATTAATTGAACATAATATGTAAAATGTTACTTGAATCTTGACACTTTTAACTTTTTCGAGCATCTTAGTTCATTTTTCTCAAGTTTGATTTTATTGAAATATTTTGGCTCATCTGGACGCATGTAGCTTTAAAGTGGTCAGTGGCGGGTTCAGGCCCGGGCTTCAGGGCTGCAGCACCCCCCCCCTCCCCAGCTCGGCCAAAATAAACGTTTACCAGCTGGACTGGAATATATTTTTGTCAGTTTCAAACTTTATTTGCTGTAGTGTACTCCCTTATCAAAACATTTATTGCTGTCATCCAGTTGTAAATCCCCTGCCTGGGGGCTTTGCGGAAGTCTTAATCTATCAACATGCTTGAATGGTTACTAGGAGAAAAAAGGGTCGACCAAATTATGTTGTGATGTTTTCAGGGTAAAGAATAGTTATGCCCCTAATTACCTGGGAGAACGTATCAGCTTCAATACAAAACACTAAATAGATCTACAAGGTTTAAAGTGATATTATTAATAGTAGTAACTATTTCTCTTATACTTCAGTATTTGTCTTTTTTCCTGTCATGCGTCTTTAAGCTGGAGGTTCAGGTATTTTTTTTTATCTAAGTTCATTACTTTTTGATCTATGCATTAAATTTCAATGGAAACAGTTCGCAATAAGGCAGACTTATATTTTTGTGTGTATGAATAGAGATGGTCATTACATGGTTCATAAACTTTTGAATGTAGCGTGTTGATTTATGCATGCATGGGTTTTCTGTGATGTACTGAAACCTTTTGAAATGTGAAATTTAAAGCAACCAAAATTGAAAAGAAATTGAAATTTCTACACATGTCTTAGGAGAATGGCTAAAACTAGAGCAATATACTGAGAACACTTTTTATGTCAATACATACGTTAATCTCTTCTTTTGATAAAATCGTTGTCTGGTGACTTTGAAGGTAATTGAGCTGCACGCGACAGACAGGTGTCATGTGTCATTTCAAATTAAAGGTTTCCCACGGAATTTTGGAAGTAATAAGGTATTCCCGTTCAGTTTTTGCAAATAACCTTTAGGCCAAATAATTTGCATTGATAGCTTCAAGTCCTGAATGTGGGGTATTTATATGTTTATATATTTAATTAATGATAGAATTATTTTATGTTAAATAACCGTAAAATTCTTAACTAAACCTCATATTTAGGAGTTGGACTCCTTAAAATTCTACATAGTGGTTATTTGAAAAGATATAGGGGCGTCCATGGCCGAACGGTTACGGTCGTTGACTTCAAATCACTTGCCCCTCACCGCTGTGGGTTCGAATCCCGACAGGGACTTTTGATTCTTTCATGTTAGGAAGCTATCCAGCTGGCTTACGGAACGTCGGTGGTTCTACTCAGGTGCCCGTTCGTGCCTCAAATAATGATTATAATGCACGGAAGAGGACCTGAGGTCTTCCTCCACCAGTAAAGCTGGAACGTCGCGTAAAATCCAAAATAAACAAACAAAATTTAAAAAGATATTTAACCTAAATAAGGTTTATTCTACTGATAATGAGAATTTTACAATTTCCTTATTAGGCCTTTTTAACTCTATAAGGACTTAGTAAATAGCAATGTAATTCCAGTAATATCCGATTATCCAGTTGAATTATAGTGTATATGTGTAAAGTTTATCAGGAAATACAATGGTGACATTCAATCTCTAGCACATAATTTCACGACAAAGCTGGCAACAAGTGGTTCTCAAAACAACTGAAAACTAGCGATGTAAAAGAAGAATTAGTTTTTATTTTATTACATGTATCCAACAAATTACAACGCTGGCTTATAGAATTGTCAATAATACACAATCACAAATTACGCGGATGAATATCATTTTAATCAATGAAAATGCCTTTTTAGCGATGTTGATTACCGAATTCTTCAGAGCATATAACATAAATAAATCTGACTGTCGAGTAGTGGAATATATACATGTCAGACTGTTTTGGCGAGAAGAATTTGCTAAATTATTTACATCAGTGTTAAACAACAGGTTTATCGTGAACAAAATACCTCGAAATTAATAAGGATTACAAACCCGAAATGGAAATTTCAATTTAGAATTATTTGATTTTATTTAGGTTTTCTCGTATAACTTCCCCGTGGTGCAGGGTTAACGCGCTCGTTTAAGGTGTTGGAGGTCTGGAGTTCAAATGCCAGTCGAGGCAACTATTTTAAGTGTCTTTTTAAGGAAGTAGCCACGATATGCAAGGATAAAGTGTGGTTGTCATAAAAAAAATGAACATAAATGATTTTTTGACGCAAATCTAGTCATGCAAAATTCCGTATGTATCAACTAGAACTGTTATAGTAAAAAATTTTAAACGCAATCGCTGCATCTCGTATCTATAGTATATAAAAAATAAACTTATGAAAGAAAAGACATATAGATATACGTACAGTACGATTCAGATTGCAAAGATCAGAAAATACCACAGAGCTTGCTTTGATTATAGTTTGTTATCTTGTTGACAATTTACAATATTGGGCCTTAATATTAATTGGAGCGTGAGCCTTATTTTAAGTACATGTATTATCTTTACAAAAACGTGCTATTGTAATTTGATATGTATAGAAATCCCAAACGCTGACGTGTATAAGTTTTTTTACATTTTATTGCGTAGTTAGCTGACCTAATTGGAACGACTTGAAAGAACGTTGTTTTTTTGTGAACATTTATTGACCGAATTTCATAATTCAATGACGAGGCACTAATATTATTAATTGAACAGATAAACAGATCATGGATCCGTTACATGTACAATTTCTTGCTCATGGAAATCCAGTAAATAGGTGGTTATTTTTTCCAATGTGTCTTTATATTCCTTTCACGAGTACTTTTGTGTAAATTTGATAAATGAAGCGTATGGATTTATATCAGATATACAGTGAAAGTTGAGAAAACCGGACGGCTTTCGGACCGAGGGTTTTGTCCGGTTTTCTCAGCGGTCCGGTATTCTCAATGTCCCCTTCAGCTGTTCAGAATCATATAAACTGAGCAATGACTTACAAAGGATGCTGAACGTATATTTGCATTTTCATGATTAT